TTAAGAAAAGGTATCACGTTATAATGTTAAGAAAAGGTATCACGTTATAATGTTAAGAAAAGGTATCACGTTATAATGTTAAGAAAAGATATCATGTTATAATGTTAAGAAAAGGTATCACGTTATAATGTTATGAAAAGGTATCACGTTATAATGTTAAGAACAGGTATCACGTTATAATGTTAAGAACAGGTATCACGTTATAATGTTAAGAAAAGGTATCACGTTATAATGTTAAGAAAAGGTATCACGTTATAATGTTAAGAACAGGTATCACGTTATAATGTTAAGAAAAGGTATCACGTTATAATGTTATGAAAAGATATCACGTTATAATGTTAAGAAAAGGTATCACGTTATAATGTTAAGAAAAGGTATCACATTATAATGTTAAGAAAAGGTATCACGTTATAATGTTAAGAAAAGGTATCACGTTATAATGTTAAGAAAAGGTATCACGTTATAATGTTAAGTGTATCTTCACAAGTTTGTTGGGCAGCAAAATGTCACTGTGTTAAAATCCATACCAGCTCTATATGGAGAGTTGTGAGTGATAAGAAACGAAGGGCTTCAAGGTTCCTTCAGTCAGCACGTTAGGAGACAGATGAGTAAATAATTAAATCACTGTATGAAATTCTTAACAAAAAAAACATGTGCAGTTCGATATATGAAAAATAGATATCTTAGGTATTTTTCTCAAATTCATTGTCGAGTGTTGCATTCTTATAAATTTGTTGAAGTATTTTAAGTGTTCTTTTGTTTTAAAAATGCAATATACAGTTAACTGTTCCTCCCCTTCACTATTGATATCCCCAAATTATCTGTATGAAAGATGGTAACCTTATTTCTAAATAACACCTTATACATATAGAGTTTTATCATGAGAATTCACTTTTCATGGTATTTCTTCTTTGATTGCTGTTAGGCTGAAGAATTTCGAGAATTTTGGGGACACAAATCAGAACTTCGAAGATTTCAAGATGGAGGCATCTGTGAAGCCGTGTTGTGGCCTGCCAGTAGTACCGCAGACAGAAGAATGATTTTCAAACTTGTTGCTCAGTTTGTTCTTGAAAAGTAAGTGTTTGCTGCATAGTTCAGAAAACTGTGTTTATTATAAATGTTATATTGTAATAAAAAATTATCAATTATATTCAAATTGAATTTTATCATTTTTTTTAGTCCCATTTGCTGTGTTAACTACTAGTTTGTATAGATTACTTAACCATCATTGGTTATTGGATTGTTTAACCATTTTTCTCAATCAGACATGCAGGAATATCTCCTCAATTTGTTGAGATTATTGGAGGACAGCTGGACCATCTTCTGACAGTTCCTTGTTCTGCCCTTCCTTCTGATTGGCCATCTTATGGAACAGGTGAAGAAGCTACAATGGCAGTCATTCAGAGCTACAGTTCACTGATGAAGAAACTTCGAAGTGTTGAAGGTCTTCCTCTTTCCATCACCTCAATTCAAGGAATTTCTCCTATTTTCAGGGGTTGTGAGGTACTTCAAGAAATCTCAAGTTGTTGGCATTCAAGTGCATTATTGTTTTAAAGATAAAGTAAAAAAAATATCTGTTTTGTTGCTTTATTAATTATTTGTAGATAGATTATCTTACATTTCTTCCCTACATAGAAAATATAAATATATATATATATATGTATATATATATATATACTATTTTTATTTTAGGAATTGTAAGTTATATAATAAGCCTACAGGGGATTAAGCTCCACCTATAATATCAACATCCCAATACTAAATTAATAAAACTGACAATTGCCTTATCAGTTTAATACTGACCTTTTTCCAACGAAAGACAAGTCCGATTCCCCTGTAGGTGTATTTTATAACTCAGAATTCTTAAAAATTAAAAATAATTTTATTTCTTAGAATTATTTTCTTACAGATTCAGGATATAAAATTGAAGAATGTATTTCTGATATAAAATTTATTTTTAAAACGAAGATTTTAAATAAATAATCTTGAAGTTAATTAATAATTAACACCAAGTTCCATATAAACTGTACTGCCAAATTATGTGTAATTTTAATTTACGTTTTTGAATTTTTCTTTTCCTAAAGGTTTTCCCCCCTGTACCCATTAGTTATCGTGCGGGAAAGAAGATGACATCTCACAAACAAAACTGCACCATTTTGAAAGGCAATGTCGGTATGGCACCAAGTTGGGTCCAACCGCTAAAAGGTAAAAAATAAATAAATACTAGAATGAAATAAAAGTTTGTTAGAAAATACTTAACATTAAAAGTTATTTTTTAATACGGGGAAGAGAATTTAATGAATAGGAAGCTGAAACTAAACACCTAAACATTTAAGTATTTTACACTAAGTAGTTTGTTTGTATTAAAAGTTTTCAATATTGTTTTAGTGTTTATACAAAACTTTGTACTTAACAGAAGTATAATAAAATGCATTTATACTAATCTTTATATTTATCAACTAACTTTAAACCATATCTTTAAAATCTATTTTTGTTCAAAAGGAGTTTTTAGAGTGAGATGTTATAAAACCTAGAACAACTAATTTCAACAGTTAAATATTTTTATACAACATTAGTGATTTATTTTATTAAAGAACTTGGCAACCTTAGGGGAGCTTAAGATTCATTGTGTTTTAAACGAAATTCAGTTTTTGTGATGACAATTTTCTGGTTCAACCAGTGGTAGTTCACATGGAGGGTAGCGGAAAATGGCCAGATGATGTACACGCTATTCGTCGAGTGAAAGCAGCTTTCCACATAAGACTTGCGGAGCTGCTGAAGAAACAATTTTCTCTTACTACTGCTCCATTTCCAGAATATGTGGATATTTTCATGGTATGTGTTAGCTGTATGGCTTGAACTTGTATTTAAAATCAACTTAAGCCTTGATAAGATGGTATTAATGTACAGAAAACAGGCAATGCTTTCATTCTATTTGTGTATATAACAAAATAGAAGCCCAGCATGGCCGGGTGGTTAGGGAGCTCGACTCGCAATCTGTGGGTCGCGGGTTCGACTTACCCGTCCCACCAAACATGCTCGCCTTTTC